GAAGGCCTGGCGCAATATGGTTCATGGGGTCACGAAGAGTCGGACACGACTTAACGACTAAACAACAACAATGATTTTATACAGGAGTGCTCTGTGTGTGTGCATACATGTGTGTTTGGGTGTGGGTATGAGCCTGGGGAGGGAGGGAGGGATAGCCAGCCCACCCTGGTGATGGAATTATTGAATTAACCCAGAATGTTAATTCTCTGTTCATTGAACTGAGTGGGAACACAAATACATTGAGAGACATCAATGAGAAACTTTAAGCATCTGAACCTTACCTTATAGACATCATAATGCTATGCTATTAATGGTATTATCTTCAACTATTGACAATCTTATTTATTTTTCAAATGCAGGTATTAGAAAATATCTCTGACTCTTTTGGATATGAAAATATGGAAGATTTAATGAACACCTATTTAGATTATCTTGTTCTTGAGTGGTTGAACTGTGGTTACAGCCTGTCAGTTTTTCCTTATGTTTTGCTGAATTGCCCTACTTTGGAAGATTTTTACAGGTATGCTTCTAAATTATACTTTTTTCTATGTAGATTGATTGCTGCAGCTTTTATTAACTGATGTGTTATATTCTGAAGTAGGCCTAAACTCTACTATATTTTAACATAATGAAAGATGTATTATTTAATTTTGGAATTGATTTTATGCATTTTAAACAAGGTTGAGCATCCTTTTCCAGGTTGAAGGCCACAGTTGGTCTTTGAGTGGCATACTGCAAATAGCACTTGTGAAAGTAGATGACAGGACCTAGTCAAGGTTTATCTTCATTTCATTTCATTAACTTATTTCACTAATTAAAATTAAGTATAGTTAATATAATTACTCTCTAATTCTTTAATAATTTACTTCTTTACTAATGTTTTAAATAAGTTCTTGATGCAGTGAAGTGGTCAGTGTCTAATTTGAACTGGCTACTGGAATAATATTTTGAGAATTAAATAGTTGCATGTCAACAGGGCTTTTATTTTTCAAATGTAATTTCATTATAATTCAAGGAGATTTTTTAAATTGCAGATCCTGTTACAAAGTCTTGATTCCACAACTAATAATTAGAGATCAGTTTGAAGAGGTAAAAGCCATCGCCAGCCACATTGAAACAGAAGAACGTCAACTTCTGGCACAATGCTTCCCCAAAATCCTTGTCAACATTCTTCCTTATTTTGCCTACCAAAACCATGAAGATAATGAATTCACCCAAAAGAGCAATACGGCTTCTAAAGTCTATGACATGCTGAAAGATGAAAATTGCTTAGGAAAGCAGGTATCTTTTTTTTTAAAGTTTTGTTTTTATAACTTGTAGTCTTAAATGAGAAGAATTTGAATGCTAAGAGATCCTAGGTTAAAAAACATCAATTTCTAAATATTATTTCAATTTTTGGGTAGAAGTGAGTAATTTCCACATCAGAAATATCACTGAAATTCATACCATATGTGTTTAAAGCCGAACATTATTTTGTTAATGTCAGGTTTTTTTGTTTCTATAGTTTTGGTTATTTCCGTAATTCTTCTGATCAGAATATTCTACATTTTTTCCATTTTGCATACAAAGTATGTTCAGTACTATGCCCTGCCCTCTGGAGTTTGTGTTCTTTCTGCTACCTCAGAATTACCTTTCCTTAAGTCATGGTAGCACTGATTTAAGATCTTAAGCTACAGGGGCTCCGTATCAATCTATTTTTGGAAATTTTCTTCAGGTCTTAGACTGAAACAGAGAGAAATGTGGAATTAGCGGCATATACACAGCTCTTTCAAACTAGGTGCTGCCAGGAATTCACTCCAGTCATATTAAAATAAATGTTTTGTGTAATTCAGCATCTTTTTGAATGGGTTCAGAGGAGTCATGACTCAGAGAAGTGGTAACTGTTTCCTCTTCAACTGGATTTTAAGAATACAAATTGCTAATTATAGCTGGTTTGCAGGCTATTCTCCTACCCAATGGTCAAAGTGCAATTTATTTGGTCTGGAAGTATAGCTATGCAATTTTACAGTGCTTACAGAGACCACAGATGTCAGACTTGATGGCTGGAGTATCCAGTGTAAAGGTCAAGTGGCTCAGGCTGTATAGAATTCTTCTGTAAGGCCACTTGAATATGAAGCTGTATCTAGAAGGAATGGGTTAACATCTTGTTGTCTCATATTGGCCAAGATGCTAGGGTTCTCTGGATATAGGCTATAGGTCTATAGACTTCTCAGGCTTCATACTTAAGCCAGATTTACTATTTTATGGTACTTTCATACACCTCAAATTGGAAAATATTTACTGTTTTCTTTTCAGTTGTGGGTCAAAAGTAGGAAGACTAAATGATTTCCTACCCAGACTCTAGGTTAAAAAACAGCGTAATAATACAGGTATCGTCATACTTAGATTTACTGTCCTTGCTGATCCAAAAACAGGATCTTTATTTCCTAGAGGCAAATGTTAATTTTGTGGTTCATCTGGTGAGCATCTATCCTCTTTATCAGAGCAATCAAGTTTGCCTCACTTTTGAATGTGTTTTGCAATCCAGTCCTTCACCAAAGAACATTTGAACTTCTGAAAGAAACTTATTTTTATTTATATATCAAGATAATTAGCAGAAAGGCTGCTTTCTCAATTGATTGATTGATTATGTGCCATCAAGTCGGTATTAATTCTTAGGGATCACATAAATAGATTTTCTCCATGACGATCTGATCCTAAACTGGTCTTTCAGGTCTTCCAATGGTGCACCCATTGCCACTATAACTGAGTCCATCCATCTTGCTGCTGGTTGCCCTCTTCTTCTCTTTCCTTCCACCTTTCCCAGCATTAGAGCCTTCTCTAGAGAGCTAGGTCTTCGTAAAATGTGTCTGAAGTAGGATAATTTGAGCATGGTCATCTGGGTTGATTTGTTTCATGATCCATTTGTTTGTTTTCTGGGCTGTCCACAGTATTCTCGGAAGTCTTCTGTAACACCAAAGTTCAATAGCATCAATATTGTTCCTATCCTGCTTCTTCAGAGTTCACACTTTTGTTTCCGTAGAGTGTCGCGCTGATCTTTGTAGGTACAGACATATCATGGCACCTGAATATCTTTTCCAAGGTTTTCATGGCTACTGTACCAAATGCTAGTCCGTAGTGTATTTCTTGACTGCTTGTTCTTTTACTGTTGATGGTTGATACTAAGAAGCAGAAGCTGTCTACCACTTCAATATCTTCATTATTCTAAGGCCGGTTGTTGTACCTGTTGTCATTACTTTGGTTATCTTTATATTTAATTTTAGTCCCATTTTTTATTATGTTCCTTGACTTTTATTAGTAAACCATGCAGATCCTTTGCATTTTTTTGCTATTAGTGTCATCAGCAGGTTATTGATGTTTATTCTTTTGATTTCCATGAGGCTAGGCTTGTTCTTCAGTTCACTTTTTTCATTCCCAAAATTAGTATCAGTTTAGAGTAAAACTGGAGTTCATCTTGTTGATTTCTCCCCAGTCTAAGCAGCCAGAGGTGTAGCTCTCCAGTCTATTTTGTACATTCAAATAAATTTAAAGAAAGCCTCCTATCCACAGATATACATAGCTTCCAGCAGACATCCACTTGGAATTATCTCATCATTATCCTTGGTAATTGCTGTCTCAGAAAATGTCAAGAACTGTGCTGCCTGGCTTCTTAAGCTTTTATTAATGTTTCAATTTGTTTTTCATTTAGCTGGTGGTAGGCAATACTTCATAAAGTCCTGGAATTCTGTTTTCACATATTACTTTGCTATTTAGTGCAGGCTCCATTTTGATATTTCCCAGTACTTGCGTAACAAAGAATGACAAATAGACAAGATAGCTTGTTTCTCTTGGAATTGGGTTGGGCTTTTTTTTTTCTTTTAAATACATTTGTAGTGGAGTAATTCCTTAACCTTGACACCAAGCATCTCTTTTTCAATTTTGTTTCAGGGATTTTTTTTTTCTGAATAGTTTATACCTCAGTCAAAGTGATTTTCAAAGAACCTCTTCTGCTTGGTGTGAACATATGTTATGCTTGTATCACAATATGGCAAACAAAGAGAAAACCAAATTATTTGCATATTTTATTAAATATAGCACCAGAAGACTGATAAGTCAGGCAGTGTCCACATTAATCATCTTTTGTCTTTTAAGGCTACTCAACCTGTGTTTTATTTTTACAGCTGATAGATAGTTTATTTCATGGCAGCTTATCAGAGATTGTGGTAGAGGTGTTGATGACCCTACATGAGCCAGTCAATATCAAACCAGAAGAGAATTCTGACTTAATTAACTTTACAGGGTATGGTTTTCCTTTCTCTGTTGTGTTACGTATTTTAAATTTGCGTGAAGTTTTCTTTATTTGTAAACTGATCGTCCATGAGGATTGCATGTCGAGCAAAGGCAAAATACAGGTAGTCCTCACTTAACAACCATTTGTTCAGTAACCATTTGAAGTTACAACAGTGCTGAATGAATGGTACTTTTGCCCGGTCCTTGATGTTATGGCTGTTGCAGTGCCTCCACAGTCATGTGATCAAAAGACACTTGGCAGCCCACCCACATTTACAACTGCAGCAAGTGCTTCAATTCCACCCACCTGCCTATCTCTCCCCCTCCCCCCCACGTCTGCCCTTACCTCCCCTGCCTCCCTGCATTCTGCCCTGCACCCCTGCCTTCCTGCACCCTGCTGCCCTGTGCTCTGCCACCCTCAGCTGACCTTTGCCGTCTTCTTCCTTCCGCTGCTGACAAGGTGTGCCTGGCCTGGCCCTTTGTGAGGCAGCTGCCAGCCACGCCAGGCCTTCCCAAGGCTTTGTGAATTCCCGTCCCAATTAGGGCCATTAAGCGAGGACTACCTGTAAAAAGGAATGGCAGTTTGAAGTTTGAAGGTCTGCTGAGAACTGTTTCCTGTCATGTTTAAGATCGCTTGGGAAAGGAATGCATTAAGAAACTGGAGAAATCTGTTTTGTAAAATATTACTGTAATAGTAGGTCACAACTTTTCTCACTGTACATTTTAACATATATACGTAAGTATAATGCTTTTTTTCTTAATCATACTTCACTGCATTTCAAATTTATGTCTTCTCTGATTCTTCAGTTGGTGGAATCTCTATTTAGGAATATCTTTCATTGTGACTGTTAGTTAAATATAGACCTAATTGATAACCAGGCATATTTTAAAGCAGCTGTTTACCTGTATTTACAGTCATAAATACATAATAATTTGAAAATAATGCTTTGAGGGCAAAATAGTTTCATTTGATTATTGATCAATTTATAAGCTGCCTCAGTAATGTACAATACATTAAAAAGCAAAGAAAACAGTAAAAATTATATAAATACAACATCAGAAAAGAAAAGAAAACTATAAATCCCACGGGTCTCAAACTACTAAAACAGAGTCACCCGTTGGGGGAGATGGGTGGCATACAAGTTTAATAATAAATAATAATAAATAAATAAAAATAAAACCTAAATCTACTAAAGAATGAAACACTACTAAAACAGTTTAGGCACCCCTAGTCAAATTGCATTGTTAAATTGACAAACTCTCTACATGTTACAGAGTTAAATGCAACTTATTTCACCAAATTTGAATGCATACTTACTATTTAAATGCAATTGGTTACAGATTGAAAATAAGAGAACAATTCATATGGCAGGTACAAAAGTTTGAATGTCCTTTCAGTCTGTATTTTGCAACACCTGCTTTGGCAGAAATAACAGTTTCCAAGCTAAGACTATTACTGTTCTTGCTTTTTTTTTTTTTTCTTGCAGAACTCCTCTAGCTCAGAAATGTTCTTAGGTCTGATTGCATACATGTTAACAGATTTCCAATAATATGTCTGGGGACTGTGAATGCCATTCTAAAACCTTTATCCTTTTTTCCTGTAAGTACTATGTTTTGGATTACTGAAATATTCAGTATTCCGGAAAATCTGTGGGGAGGCCTCAAATATGCAATACATGCAGTGTAGAAGTTGTGTCTGGTGAAAGCCCTGGCTGGGACACCCTTTGCCCAGCTCTGGCTCATATACCAGTTACAACCCTATCTGGAATGGAAGAATCTTGCAATGGTAACTCACAGTCCCATCACCACTGATTTGAATATTGCAATGTATGCCAAATGTGGTTGCCTTTAAAGACCACCTGGAGACTGCAGTTGTGCAAAATACAGTGGCCTACTTCCTGTTATTAGAGATCACAAGAATATTATACCTGTGCTCCAGGCTCTTCATTGGTTGCCAGTGAGTTTACAGATGCAATTTAACATGTTGGGTTTGACCTATAAAGCCATATGTAGCTTGACACTAAGGCGTCTCCAGAATCTCCTCCTGCAATTCAAATCAGTCCATCTGATGCAAAGATTTCAAGAAAAAATGCTTTTGAATCCCCGCTATTGTGAGATCAGGGGACCAAGGCCAGAAAAAATATTTCTCAGTCTTCTGGTTTTATGGAACAGCTTCGTACTTGAAACTAGAAGAGCCTCAACCTTATTAATCTTCTAGAAACAAGTCAAAATGAACCACAGGGCTTTTCCACAGGGCTTTTTAATTTATATTGAACTGCAGGTCCAAATTAGTTGAACTGTAGTACTGTAAAGAAAATCCTATTCATAAATAAAAAATGTATGCTGAGGTAATTATTCTAATATAGATTGATCTGTTTTCTCCTATGAAGTGTATCATTCCCATGAAATTCTGTTTATTGTCTTTTAGACTATATTTTCTTAACCAAGGTTTTTAAAGGTTTGTGATCTTTTCAACTCTTTCAGAGATCTGGATCCTGCTCCAAATCCTCCTTATTTTCCATCATGTGTCATCCAAGCTACACTGGGTTACATTAATAGTTGTTATAAAACTAAGTCCAAAAGTATTATAGCAATCCTTTCCAAGAACCCTGTAAGTAACTGATGTTCAGTTTTGTGATATTGTCACAGTATTTCTATATAGCTGCTGTTGCATTTTAAATCAGTGCAACTGTATGCATATTTATGTTAATGCTGCACATCCCTCTGAGCATGGAACTCATTATAAATATACAAGATGACCAGAAAAAGGATACTAATTTCTACAAAATCAGGTTAAGCTGTTGTGTAACCTTTTAAATCTAATAATAAGTCATCACACTACTAATAAAATAATAATAAAGCAATTACTGTTACTTAAGTTCCAGAGTTCCTGCATTCAAGCTTTCATATATAATCATTAAGCTGAGTGTTGAGCAAATTAAAATTAAAGAAAATAATGAATTCTAGTACATTCTTTGTGTGTTGCATGTTTGGACAAGCAGAATTAATACTGCTGTGGTTTGGTTTGATGTCCAAATTAAGTCAATAGGTATAATTATTTAATGATACAAGCAATAGCTCAGATATGTTGGCCTTGTTGTGATTTCAATAATTCTGGAAAGATAAGAGATGCTTGATGCATATTCATATGAATATTGATCAAATTAGACACATTCATTTAAGAATGGATTATTTTTTCATTTATAAATCTGCTTGATAATACTTGATTTTTGAGGAATGGCACAAAGCCTCAGAAAATACTTCAAATAATTTGCAGTGTTATTGTTCATAATACCTTTGCAAGGCTGTTTCTGCAGTTAAGTATTTTATGATGATGATTACACACACACACACACACGCAATAATAAAATTGGAATTAGAAATGATAACAGGCATATAGCTCCTCCTGCAAATGGAACCTATTTTCCTTTTACTATAATGTCTGTTATATCTGACCCCTTTTCTGATACTGCAACGTAATTCATTTGTAGCAAATGATGCAGAGCTGTGAGAAGATGTGCATAATGACCTTAGGCTAGGGACTGGCTATTCCAAATGCTAGTGAGAGGAAGGGTGGAACTATATATTTGGCCACCATTTTTATGGCAACTTTATTTATTTAATCATATCAAATTCCAGTCTAAGAAATGCAGAAGCTCCCCTTTCCCCCACTTCACTATTTACTAGGTGTGTGCAGAACATTTTGAACTCAAGCTGTTTTAAATCTGAAACATCCATTTTGAGTGTATAACACCTGTTTCTTGGTCTGGCTGTAGGGAATCATGGCAGGTGTAAAAATACCCAGCAATGAAGGTACAGAAGCAGATGTGTGCGCTAGTGTGCCAATTTGCCAATATAAAGAGAGCAGGAGTCAGGCAAGCATTGGGTGCTTACATGTGGAGTCATTAGCCCAGAGAGTGAGAGACAAGAGGGTGTGGTGTGGTGTTGAATGCAACATAGAACTGCTAGCACAGAGTGAGATCAGGAGATCATGGGATGTGCGTTTGCATACTAAGTTTTCTGAATCCAGCGGGGGAAACATAAGTGGGGAAGCATAATCAGGTAGTCTGAGTATAGAAAGCAGTATTCTCTGTAACAGGGGCCAAACTGAAATGTTGTCTGGAACAAACTGTAATAGATCTAAATCAGAAGCATAGGGTAGAAGCTGGACTGTAATGGTTTGGTTTAAGTATCCATCTTCATTTAAGAACCCCTCAGGCAAGATTCATGCAGTTATAGAGCCTTTGCATTAGCTATTGTTAGTAATGAGTCTGTTAACTAGGTAATGTCCTGGATGTAGCCTCCTTGTGAGTCTCATGGTCCTGCATGATGTAGCATCTTTCCACGGAGGTGGCATGGTCTCCTGTGCAGCCTGGCATTGGTGGGGGAAGGGCATTCATCCTAGCAAGGATGATCTTCACAATGCTATTCCAGAACCCAGAAAGCACGGGGTACTTTAGCATCTTTTGTGCCCTAATCTGTCAGCATCTCCTCTTCCTCAGAGGCAGATTCTGCTGCTTGGGCTGTGTCCTTCTGTGTATGAAATCAGCTGTTTTGAATTTTGAAACATTCTGAACACCTCTAGTATTTACTTTTTAAAAAGAATGTTTTCTTTAAAAGATACCAAGACAATATGCCAAATGAGATTTCAAAATATAAAATAAAATACAATAAAACCAAAATGGTATTTAATCATAAAACTGTCAAATTGCATTAAAATATGAAAGGACAGATTGACACTTTATTGCTTGAAGTTGTCTTTAAAGATTAATCATGTAATATATTCTTTTTGTGTAGGAGTCATTCCAGAAAATCTTATTCGCTGTATGTGAGCAAGTATCTGGAACAAGAAACATTTATAAAAAACATAGAATTCTTATGATATATCATTTTTTTGTAAATTTGTTATTGAAAGAAATAGAAGATGGCTTAGGTGGAGCATGGGCGTTTGTACTGCGGGATGTAATTTATTCTATGATTCACCACATCAGCAACAGGTGAGTATGACCATTCTATGCTGCTCTGTTTTTACATATATTCAGTTTAGTTCTCTTTCATTCATTTGAATCAGTATTTATCCTGGTTAATCATCTAGTGCAGAGCTTTCTAATTTGACTAGCATTTGATTTGGATAGCATACTAAACAAGGATTTATCTGTATTAAGTTTGAGCAAAGGCTAGACTAGCTCTTCTCCTTGCCAAAATTAACTTTCCCACTTCTTGACTTATTGATATGAACCCGGAATTATGGTTTAAAGAAACACCAGTTGTTAAATAACCCAGTTTTTTTTTCCTGTTGATCCATTTAGCAATTGTCTAAAGCCTGTCTGTATATAGCAGAGACATAAAGGAAAGGAATATTGTATGAGCCCAAATCTTTGCTTGGATTTTTAGCCTATTGTGGATTGCATTCCATTATTTTTATTTGAAAAAGGATATAGAAGTCCTTTGCCTTTTGTAAAATTACTTCTACATTTTGTCCTTAGTATGATCTACTCTATAGTTGAAGCAAATTTTATTCTTGTGTGTTCTTAGCTATTTTTCCTGTGTGTTACTCTTAGGCCAAATCCTCTGAGAGGAGTATCTCTCCGGAGCTTCTTGCTCTGTTGTGACCTTCTCAATCATGTTTGCCACACAGCAGCACAGCATTGTAAGGATGCCCTAGCGAGTCACCTCCATGTTATTGTGGGCACGCTAATACCTATAGTTGGAGAACAACCTGAAACTGAAGAAGAGGTAAGTTTCTAGAGGAACTGCGTGCTAGGCATTTCATTAATCTGATTTTTGGAAAACAACATTGTTTTATAAACTTTTCATTTTCAATTTGTGGCTCACCTTTTCATATGACAATGAAGTATGCTTGATCATCTTTTTTCCCTTTGAAAGTAAGATGTGTCATCAGAATGAAAAACCTGAATCATGGCTTATGAAACAGATAATTTAGACACTAATTATAGAAACATTTGAACCTTATTGCAGTTATGAATGTTGGAATCACATTTGGTAATTTTACCTTTTATCATTCTTGGAGGGCTACAAATTTAAGTTTGCTTTAATCATTACCAAAAAATTATGCTAGCATCTCCCCTCTTACATGGAATTCTTATTTATCTGCACTCACAGGATTGTTGGGATAAAATGAAGGGAGATTCCCACATGAATTGCCTTAAACTGTGAATCTTATTGTATTGTTGGAAAATTACAGTTGTAATTTTTTGTTTTCAGACAGACAGAATCTTTGGATATTCTTCCTCTGCTTTTCATAATAATGTCAGCCAGCTTTGTCCTTATAAAACCTTGAATGTTTTGCTGTGCTGTAACCACTGCATTTTGAAATATGAAATTGAAGTGAAAATAGAAAAAGTACCTATTTAGTCATAGAACTGTTAGTAGGAAGGATGTTTTTACTCAGAATTAAATCTTTAGTAGGGTTTTTTGGCCCATGCCTCAAGAATGTCCTTGTTTGGCCTGGGTTCCTAGGTCATGAGAGAAAGAAACACAAAAGTCTACTACCTAGCTACTTATTTCCATAAAGCTAGTTTTGGAAGAAGTAAAATATGGACTGCTAATGTACCAATCATATTGTTGAATTATGTGTTAATTCTGTTAAAAAAAAAGAAAACATTATATGGTGGTACTTGCTACACTTATTGTACTTTATACTTTATTTTTAGGTCCTGGGCTTATTAAAGTATTTAGTGATAGATAATCTGAACAATGAATATTTGTACCAAGCAATCAAACTATTAGATCCATTTCCTGATCATCCTCGTTTTAAAGAACTGCGTGCCACTCAACAAAAAATTAAATACAGCACTGGGAAATTTTCTCTTTTGGAGGTAATGTCTTCAGAGCAGTTTAAAAAAAAAAAATTGGAATCCAAGGCAATGTTCAGATTGCTTAGGGATTTTCTTCGTCCTACTTGAAATAATATATTTTTTATTGTTTGGTTATTTATGTCAAAGCTTTTACATCATAAAGTGATTACAGTTGCATTATACATTAAGAGTTAGATTTGCATCTCAGCTTTTGAAGATGCATAGTGCTAGTAACTCTTTATAAAAGATGATATGTATGAATTATATCCTCATTGTCAAATTCATGTTTGCAGGAAATTAACCATTTCCTATCAATAAGTATCACTGATTCACTGTTTTTAACAAGACTTGAAGGTTTAAATGATTTGCACAAACAACTGGAAGGTCATAAAGAACAAATAATGGAGCTTATGAAAAAATTTCAGGGTAAGGATTTTCTAATTCTAATGCATGCTTTATGTCTTGGTCCTTTCATTCTTTCTTTTTATTTTCAAAGATCTAAGAAATAATTCAAATGTATTAACACTGTTTCTGACATAAGTATTACACATTCCTAACTGATTGCATAGCTAACACTAGAAAATAATTCTATCAGTATTTTCTAATGAGTTTGTGGAAAAGATCCTGTCTGTCTGTCTGTCTGTCTGTCTGCCTGCCTGCCTGTCTATCATTAGTCTCATAGCTGAATGCAATTCTTTATTTTTAATCCACCCAGTTCATGTTTATCAGTAGATCAGATTTGTTGTTACAGAGCTCGCCTGCTTAGCTAGTATAGTTCTGAGTAGTTTCTCTTGCACAAGGCAACAAAATTTAGTAAGAACTTATAACTACTAGCTTCTTTTTCTTGGGCCTTTGTAAGCCTGTTAACTTGTTTTATTTGCCTCATAATACTTAGATACTGATATTATTATCTGTTATGGGTATTTAGAAGTTCTTCATTTAGTATTTATATTTTACAGTTGATTGTAGAATGTTGTAGTATTACTGTTGTATTCTTATTTATACTGCACTTATAGATGCATGATAAATAAGTTTACTACTAGTACTAGAACTACTGCTATATTGATTCTACAAGAGTATGAGGAAAAAATTTCAGCATATTTCTGCATTTATTTCTCCATTCTTGAAATATATTCATTCAATTATAGATTAATATGATTAAGGATGGTTCAGCTCTTTATCATCTACTTAGTAATACAATTCAGATGCAACAATAAACCAAAAAAGTGAATATTTTTAACTTAATGAATTTGTTAGCTCTGGCTGCTCAGTCTCTCTTGCTTGGTTTTTCATGCCAGTGTGTTTAGTTATCAAATATGGACACCTCCTGGATAATAGAACAAGAACTCCAGTTTGTTCTTCAAACAAGCCAGTGTCATAACTCAAGAACAAATCATGACTTTTGATTTGTTTAGGAAAAAATGACAGTCAATGAGTCTGCTTATTCTTTTAATTATATAAATTTTATTTATGAAAGAAGTACGTAGGCAGTCCTTGCTTAGTGACCACAGTTGGGACTGGCAACTCTGTTGCTAAGCACCACAGTCACTAAGTGGAAAATCTCATGACCACGACTTACGATTTTACTTCTGCCTTCTCTATTAACTTCTGCTTGTTGCAAGGCACTTGTGAAGCACACAAATGGTGATCACATGACCACAGGATGCTGCGATGGTCATAAATGTGAGGATTGGTCACAAAGCTATTTTTTTTTACACCATTATAACTTTGAATGGTTGCTAAACAAGGCAGTCGGTAAATGAGGACTACCTGTAAAACTCACCTTAAACATCCACCAATCCATTACAAAATTAGCAGGTAGCATTAAAGTAGCTAAACAAAGTCTGCAATGTTATAGACACTTTCCAGGAACTGAGTCTTAATGAAATCAAGAATCAACTTCTAAGCTGTTTGCATAGGATTATGCTCTGAAAACAAAGGGCTTATATTTTACAAAAAGGATAAGGAATGGGCTTTTACCTGCCTTCTAAAGGATGTTGAAAAAAATGCCAGGGCCAATATCCTCTAGGCACATTTCATAGCAAGAATGCCAATAAATGTGCTGTCTTTTTCCATTTGCTTCCTATGCTCTTTGGAAAACAATATCAGAGAAGACAAGGCTCTTAAGCACTAATATATAATTGATATCTATGACTTTGCAAATGCTTCTAATATATATTTCTTTTAAATGTTAGAAAATCCAAGGGACTGTGTTATAGTGAAGCTGATGGCATATCTATTACAACTTTCAAAAACAACTGTACATTCTGCTGATACTATCTTAGGTAAGTCATCAGTCATTTAAATGAGTGGAGATTTTTTAACAGCTTACTTGGTGTAACTTTATTGGTTGTTATGGCATAATGTAACTAAATAAATATGTGAAAAACCAATTACAAAATAATGTACTTTTGTTTAAATTGATACTCTATTTAGTTGTGTTAATATTGCATTTTTGTATTAATTTAAAGTTACCTGATTTGTGGAGATATTAAAGTCTGGGAATTATATATCTCCAAATATTGGGAAATACTGCTTTTTCCAACTTGCAAAAGTTTGGAGGAATATATATGTTCTTGGATTTTTTAAAAATTGGTGTACAAAGATTGTCTATCTCCTTTGATAAGCAAAGCAGGGTTGTCTGTGTTTATATTTCTTGATTCTGCCTACTGTAATTTCCCTGCCTTTTGTTGCATTCTCCCCAGTGGATATCAGCTACCGCTGGTCTGTACAGAACCAGTTCAAGTAATATAAAACTTGATCTAACTTAGCTACTGAAAATGTAAGTGATAACAATGTGAAAGGAAAGTGAGTAGTTGGGACCGGCAATGTGGCCATTAAGTGAAGTGGTCACTAAGTGAAACCATGACTGTGCTTATGAGCTTACTTCAGCTTTCTTTTGCTTTACAGACCTGCAAAAGTCATAAATGCAAGATTGGTTGTAAAGTCACTTTTTCACCATTGTCGTAACTGCGAACACTTGCTAAGCAAGGACTATTTGTATAGAACATGTACTCCAAGCATATAGAGAGCACTAGGGTGGGCACACCTTCCAGATACGTTAAAGTTCAGCTTCCTTAGTTTCCTAACCAGTAACATGAAGTTGTCAGAAAATATCTACTAATTTCTGAAATTGCATCTCCTACTTCCCTTTTTTTCTTGGGTATTTTAGATTCGGTTAGTTGAAGCTCAAAATGCCTGTTGAGAATGTAACTGCTGCCAAATCCCCAGATTTTCGGTTATTTGCATAAGCTTCTTAATTCACTGAAAATGCACTTCCACTAGTGTATGCTACATGCACAGATTGTAAGCGTTATGCAGCTTTTTCCCTCAGATTCTGGAGAAAGCTGCCCTCCTTGCACGTTGGCTTCCTTTTTGGTTTCAGGTAATATGCAAAGCCACCTTAATAATGTTCATGCTTATATTTGCAGAGGCTGTTGGAAGTTGTTTGGGAGAAATTGGTCCCATAAGTTTTTCTACCATAGCGTTGCAGCACAGTAAAAATGGATCTAGTTCCGATACATGTGATCTCTTTGAAGACAGAGAACTTCAGTGGGTCTTTGTAATATTAACTCTCATAAATAATTTTTTAATAGATCAATGGTAAGTGTACTGTATAGAGAATATTCAACACCATATATATGTGTTGCTGGTTTGGGGATGTTTTTGTATGGGTCTAGTAGTTAAATTGTAAAAAAAGACTCTTACTACTTTCAGTATTGAAGTTCGATCAGCTGCTGCTGCCTGTTTGAAAAACATTTTAGCCACCAAAACAGGGCATACATTTTGGGAAATGTACAAAACCGAGACAGATACTATGCTGCCATACTTGCGTCCTTTCAGAACATCTAAAAAAAAGGTATTGTATTTTACAGTGTATAAAATTAAATGCCAAACTCTGAATCTTCTTCCACAGTTAGAGAGAACATCACAGGTTAGGGAGCTAATTCCACCCATTTCCAGAGCAGATGTTCAGCTGAAAACCTCCTTATGCCATCGCCGCTGAGAAACCAGGATGTGTGTGCAGCATTTGTTCAGTTGGCTCTAATCGTTCCCATACTTTAGCTAATCTAGGGTGGGAAGGTAAATCAGTTCCTTCTCTGAAACTTAATAATATAACTGTCTCAATAGAGGCAGATATGTGTAGCTCAGGGTTGAACTGTGGAGTCCATAGTACAATTGTGTCATCTACATACCAGATCCATACTTTAGGTTGTATGTGGGGAAGTGCGATAGCTTCTAGGCGTTGCATTACAACCTCTGCTATGAGTCCTGACAATGGTGATCCCATGGGTGTGCCTCTGATTTGTTGGTATATTTGTCCATCAAACTGAAAATAAGTGGTGAGGCAGAGATTGATGA